CAACCACTAACCTTCGCTATTCTTCTGCCCCTTTATAAGGGTCTATCTGGATTTCTAAAAACATTTCAACCAGCCTCTTCAGCTGACTTGATCTAATCCTTTATCCAAAGTACTTATCTCCAAGCTTTAGAAATAGCTTATAAAAAGAGTTAGCTATTCTCAAAATATTTTATTTATTTTTTTAAAAAGGTTTTATTTTATGGTTGCCTCTTGCACGCCCCACACTGGGGACCTGGCCCAAAACCCAGGCATGTGCCCTGACTGGGAATCAAACCTGTGAACCTTTGGCTCACAGACCAGAGCTCAAGCCACTGAGCCACGCCAGCTAGGGCTATTCTCAAAATATTCTAGGAATGAAATAAAGAGTGGAAGAGACAAGATATCACTTATCTCCCCCTTTTATGAAGAGATGACCATTCCTAGATATACCTATTCATAAAGGATACGCCTAAAGCTCTAATCCAATTCTCCTCCAACATTTCAGGGTTGGCTGCAAGTGGAGGTAGCAATGACACCCTGGGTTTTTCTAGCTATCATGATCCCCAAAGTAAAAATGCTGAACTCAGAATGGAGTTTTTCCTCTCTTTACTCAGCAACTCAACCAAACACCACTTACTCTTACACTCCAGGGTCTTTTTCCTTCAAAAATTCCTCAAGTTTTCTCAATTTCTTATTCCATTCCAGTCTCTGCTTTTTAATTCCACCCACATCGCCCTAGTTTTTTCCTCCAAAGATGCTAGTCGTAGACAGTGAGGTGCTGGTTCTGCTTAGTGAATGCTCACTGGAAGGATAAGCAGGTAAGAGTAATAAGTGTTGGCAAGTAAACCTCTAGAAAACTAACTAGATCCAAAGGATGCCTCAATTAAGTGGCCATGGCGTATCTTTTCTTTGGTTTATAAGGCCTAGAACCACACAGAGAAAGAAAGAGCCCTAGGTTCCCAGGTACTTCAGTTTCCTCAAATTCTAGAAGATATGAAATTGGTCTTGCCTTCAACCTATCTTCTAGTCCTGGGCTCTCAAAGGAGAGGGAGTTCTAGGGGGAAAACAAGAAGGGTCTGGGTAAAAAATACATGTAGCCCTGGCTGGTGTGACTCAGGGGATTGAGTGGCAGCCCATGAACCGAAAGGTAACCAATTCGATTCCCAGTCAGGACAAACGCATGCCTAGGTTGTGGGCCAGGTCCCCAGGCGGGGGTGTTCAAGAGGCAACCACACATTGATGTTTCTCTATTTCTCCCTCCCTTACACTCTCTCTAAAAGTAAAAAATAAAATCATGTAAAAAAAAAACAACCAACCAACTATGTGTAGAAGCTGAAAAAGGAATGGGAATTAGGATTATCAGACAAGGTTTGGAAAGTTGGATGACTGTGCCCTGGAAGGTGAACTATTTCATTTGGGAGAATACAACTGAAAGAATAAAAATACATTAAATTGTGACAGAAAACAGAGTTGGTACAAAATAACTTAGACCTCAAACCTGACATTTGCAGCTCATGGAGGGTCAAAATAGGATCCAATTCTGACAGGGAAGAAAGGGGCCTTTCCAAATTCACAGTTCTAGAAGCAATGTAAACACTACTTGACCCCCACATTAAAGTGTGCTGAGTCATGAATATTAAATCAGTAGCAAGGTCAGAAAGGGTAACTATATGCCACTGAAATTTTTTAAAAATTAGTCTGAATTTAGGAATTTTTTTTGTTTGTTTTAAACTAAGGCATGAGGCAGAAAATATTAAAGTGACCAGAACCAAAAAACCCATGTTACCTGGCTTTTGGCTGAACTCCAAACTCTACTCTGATTGAAGGTATCCTGTCCCCAATTCACTCAAGTCTATCATTGCCATTCCCCCAGGAGAAAAGAGAAAGATTCAGAAGAGAATTTCTGCTGGATACGTATGTGGGAAGGGAGACATCCTGGTTCCCAGTTGTCTCACACAGTTAATCTGAACTGGATACCAATCTTTTCCAGCTGGGTTGGACTCCCATGCTTCCTAGAACAAAAGCAAACATCCTATCTTGATCTCAGACTCAATTTAAGAATCTAAGAATCTGGGGATGGGAAGGACCCAGATGAAGGACAAGATACTGGGGGAAATGGGGCTAAAATGTTATGACCAAGGATACTTCAACAAAGCTAATGCAAATCTGGGAGAAAAAATTAAGACAAATGTACTACATCAGAATCAGAAAGGAATTAGAGACTTTGCCAAAGAAAACAAATGCTATGGACGCAGGCTAGAAGAAAAAGCCCCATGAGTTAGAAAGTATGCAAAAAAAAAAAAAAATGACAAGAGATTAGCTGGGAGCTTCCATCAGACATTAGATAAGGTGGTTTCTGGGGATTACATGGCAATATAGAAATATCAGGATAAAAAATCAGAGACTTAAACTGAGAAAATAAATTAAGATAAATAAATATGGGTACCCAGAGGCACTGAATATAAAGAAATCTGGTGAGGCAAGTAAAACATACACTGGCATTTGGAGACAGTAAAAAATGAATACACTGAACTTATCAATTAAAGCTGGGGTAGAAACCTTCCACTCCAAGGGCAAATAGTAGACCCCTTCCAGAGTAAGGTATGACTTCACAGGGAAGGAGTTGGAGAAAGTCATTTGGAGGGGCATAAAGGTAGAGAGGTCTATTATAGGAGAAAGGCTTGAGGGGAAGTGAAGGAAAGGCGGCTCTTCTCACAAGTGAAGTTAGAAGATATCTCTTCTCTTGCTCCTCAACATAAAATTAAAGAAGACAACAGGAATCAAAGTCTGTGCATAATTCCAAGCATAAAGTCCAAAGAGTTTCAAAATAACAACAGTCACACAAAGGGAAATTCCTGAGAGACAAGAGGGGTCTCTCTAGCTTAACTTAAATGCTGAAAAAAAATGTCCTAGAAAATGGATTCAGGACAGATGAAGGTGATAGTAACAGGAGTTTTAAAGAACCAAAGCCTCAGCAAGGGGGGAGCTGAAGTAAATACGGATCTCTTAAAAACAGTCCCCTTCTCCTTCAAAAAAGGCTATTATCAGATTCCCAAACTGGGAGAGTTGGCCATACGTCTTGAGAAGAGACTCCTTGAGAAGATAAGAGGGAATCCTCCCTTTTAGAGATCTTGAATATGAAGCTTACATTTCTCAAGATGAAAAAATTGTATGAATGTATCTGAGGACAAAATGAGATAGATAGTTAATATGAACCCATCTTTAGGGTAGAATGGCAGACCAGCTAGCTTTAGGATGAAGGGCTGGGGTGACAGACTTGTGAAAAGATGCCACCTTCTGGAAAGAAATCCAGATAGACCCTTATAAAGGGGCAGAAGAATAGAAGGGGCAGAAGGCAACAAGACTGGTACAATCCAGAGTTCCTGAGGTCAAAGATACCAAATGTCACAGATTTTGAAAACTTTTCTTCGGATGGGGAACAGAATTATATGAAAGTGGGGTGCCTTCCAGTCAGCAGGTAGAGGCCTCAAGTAAGATGAAAGGATCTAATGTGGAACGGCTTTCCCAAGGGGGTAACAGTGGAAGAATAAAGAGAATTTTCCATGTGCTTGGGCTGTGGGGGAAATGTGATTAAGGTCTAAGATGTCTTCTGCTAGGAAACAGGAAAAGTCTCTACGACAGGGGGTAAATGGGGTCTCTTGGGGGACGGCGACACTGATGCAAGCATAATACTGCCCTGATGTTCATTCTGTCTGAGATGGGGGTAAAAGCAGGTGTAACAGAGGGGGCAAAAAATAAGAGGAAGGGGGTTAAGTTCCAAAAATCTGCCCAGGAATGCTGCGGGTGGGAGCGTGGATCTAAGGGTCTAAGATTCTAAGGATCAGGACTTAGCTCCAGAAGCTCGATCTCGCCCCACTCTTGCTTCCTCTGGCTTGAGAGAGGGGGTCATAACTGGTGTCCCGGGTCAGCGCGCCGTCTCACCTTGTAGAAGGCCCCGTTGGAGCCGCGCACCTCGACGGGCAGTCCTGGCTCCACATCCCCCGCAGAGGCCAGGCCGCCCATGGCGCCGCCGCCGCCGCCGCTTCCGACTCCTCCGGAGACGGCTGCAGCAGCGGTCTGAGTGCGGGCCGGGCCAGGTCCCCGGCGTCTCCCGGGAGGAGGAGCCGGAGGGGGAGCCGCGGGGGGCGGGAGCCGGGCCGGCCCCACGGCGGCCCTGCCACAGCCAACTAGCAGGGGGCCGGGGCCGGGCCGCTCCCGGTCCGCCGCCACCGCCTTGGTCTCCGCCACCGTGAGGGAGACGGCCGCCGCCGCCGCTGCCTTCGTCACCTCAGCTTCCGCCCGCCGCCACCCCTGCTGCTGCCTTAGTCTCAGGACCCGCCGCTGCCCCTGCCGCTCCACGGCTTCCACCTCCCCCTTCCGCCGCTGCCTAATGCGCAGGCGCGCGGGGCCCCAAGGTCCAAGGCGCAGGCGTCAAGGCTGGCGGCTCAGCTCGCGCTCATCAGCGCCTTGCAAGCTCCTACACTCCTTTTTGCTCTCTCACGCCCTCGCGTGGTCGCTTACTGACGCTTGCGCAGAACGAGATTGGCGCTCTTTCTTGGCCACCCCACCACTCGAAGGCCGCATTTCTTTCTTTCCCCGCCCCACAACACTGAGAGCTAACCAATCATGGGGAGGGAGGGGCCGCGCTCACTTAGTCCGATTGGATTTCTGCTGCTCTGGCCAGACCCTACCCACTTCGCTGTGAGCTCCACCAGGCTAGGACAAGTTAGGGATGGGCATGCGCCTGAGTGATTGCTTGGTCACTTTCCTCACCTTTGTCTTTCTTGGTGCGCACGCTCCAGAGCATTAAAAAAAAAAAAAAAAAAAAGTCAAAAAGCAAGAAAAGAAAAAAGAAAAAACAGATGACCCAAATGACCCATGCGCATGCCCTGAGCTTTAGTGTCTAGTGTCTATGCACAAATACATAGCAACTCTTTCGAGTATCAATAAGTCTGTGCAATAGGAAATTTTTAAAATATATTTTATTAATTATGCCATTACAGTTGTTCTATTTCCCCCCTTCATTCCCTCCACCCTGCACACCCCCTCCCCGACCATTCCTCCCCTTTAGTTTATGACCACGTGTCTCAAGTTCTTTAGAGTCTATATTTCCCATACTATTCTTGCCCTCCCCCCTATTTTATACCTACCATCTATGCTACTTATTTTCTGTACCTTCTCCCCCCCTCCTTCTCCCACTCCCCTGTTGCTAACCCTCCATGTGATCTTCATTTCTATGGTTCTGCTCCTGATCTAGCTGTCCTCTTAGTTTGCTTTTGTTTTAGGTGTGGTTGTTAATAACTGTGAGTTGGCTGTCCTTTCACTGTTCATCTTTTTTATCTTCTTTTTCTTAGGTAAGTCCCTTTAACATTTCATATAATAAGAGCTTGGTGATGATGAACTCCTTGAATTTGATCTTATCTGAGAAGCACTTTATCTGTCCTTCCATTTTAAATGAAAGCTTTGCTGGATAGATCAAACTTGGCTGTAGGTCTTTGGATTTCATGACTTGGAATACCTCTTTCCAGCCCCTTCTTGCCTGTAAGGTCTCTTTTGAGAAATCCACTGACAGTCTGATGGGAACTCCTTTGTAGGTGACTGTCCCCTTATCTCTTGCTGCTTCTAGGATTCTATCCTTCATTTTAATCTTGGCTAATGTAGTGATGATGTGCCTTGATGTGTTCCTTCTTGAGTCCAACTCCTTTGGGACTCTCTGAGCTTCCTGGATCTCTTGGAAGTCTATTTCCTTTGCCAGATTGGGGAAGTTCTCCTTTATTATTTGTTCAAATAAGTTTCCCACTCGTGGCTGTTCCTCTTCCCCTTCTGGTACCCCTATAATTCGGATGTTGGAACGTTTAAAGATGTCCTGAAAGTTCCTAAGCCTCTCCTCATTTTTTTGAATTCTTGTTTCTTCATCCTTTTCTGTTTGGTCATTTCTGGTCCACTCCTTTGATTTGAGTCCCAGTTTCCTTCCCATTACTATTGGTTTCCTGTGTATTTCCCTTCATTTCAATTAGTTTAGCTTCCATTAGTTCCTCTAATTTGTGACTAAAATCAACCAGTTCTATGAGCATCCTGATCACCAGTGTTTTGAACTGTGCCCCTGAAAGTTTAGCTATTTCTTCATCACTTAGATTTACTGGCTCTGGGGCTCTGAGTTGTTCTTGAGCCATGTTTTGATCTGTTTGTGCCTGTTATGTATGAGGAGCAGAGCCTTAGTTGCTCACCGGGGTGGGGCCACCCAGGTTGCTGGTTTGTGATGCTGTATGTGGGGGTGGGGTTAGAGAGGAACAAAGGTGGTTCCCTTTGCCACTTCCAGCCATTGGGGCCTGCATGGTCCATCTCGCCACTAGCTCTTTCACTGCACACCAATGTGTAACTGCGATCAGCCCTCAGTGGGTCCACGACCTTGTGCCCTGCAATAGGAAATTTGAGTGATGTTCCTGTCTTGAGAAGATTCTGACTATGCATATAATGAAAGGTTAAAGAATAATTTCAAGGCAGTACTGAAAAGCAAATTCCACTTAGCACAAGATGTGATATTTAAATTCTAAGGAGCTTCAAAATAAAAAAAATACATTGTTATGGAATAAGGACAGTAGAGGAATTCCAGAATTAAAATAAGAAATTTAGATAGAAGTGAATTAAATAGCACAGAAATTAGAATTGTGTTGTGTATTCAATAATTTACCAAATATTTAGTAAGCCCTCACTGTGTTCCAATCACTGTGCTAAGTACTAGGGATACAAAGATAAGGTGTGGTCCCTGATCTTAAGGAACTTATATCGGGGGAGCAGCAAATAAATAAGGTTTGGGTTTTTTTTAGATTTATTTATTTATTTATCTTTAGAGGGGAAGGGAAGGAGAGAGGGAAACATCAACATATGGTGGCCTCCCGTGAGTCCCCTGATGGGAACTGGCCTGCAACCCAGGCATGTGCCCTGACTGGGAATCGAACCATGGATGCTTGGTTCCCAGGCCCACGCTCAATCCACTGAGCTACACCAGCCAGGGGAAAATAAACAAGTTTTAACAGATAAATTAACAAATTAAGTTTATAGTTTCAACTGAAAACATGATGGAGTTAAAGACTCAGTATGGCCTTGACTGGTGTGGCTCACTCTGAAAACCAAAAAGTCACTGGTTTGATTTCTGATCAGGGCACGTGTGGCCCAGATCCCTGTTGAGGGTGTGGGAGAGGCAACTGATGGATATTCCTCTCCCTCTCCTCTCCCCTGCCCCACTGTCTAAAAATAAATAAATAAAAATCTTTGAAAAAAGACTCAGTATAGGGGTAATGCCACAAAGACTTTGGTCATTGTTATTCAGAGTGATCAGACACCACTGCAAAGGAGGAGAGGCAAATTGAGAGTTAAGGGTTGAGTATGAGTTTGTTAAAGAAGTGCAGTAAGAGTACCTGGGGAAAATAAGGAACACAATAGTGCAGAAAAGCAGAACATGTCCTTTGGAGAATGACAACTAATTTAAATAGTATTGGCTTAAAGTAGAGAGCTGCAAGAAGCTAGATTGTGAAAGACTTTAGATCATATTACAGAAAATGGCTTTTACTTTACCAATAATGGAGAGCCATTGAAAGATTTTAAGCCATATATATAATGTGATAACATTTGCATTTTATAACTAGAGAACAGATTGAAGAGTAAGTGTGGTCCTGAAGGCAGTGAGACCTATAATGAGCCATTGCAGATAAGAATGGTGCTGAGGACTTACTTAGGTTAAGGATACAAGTAGATCTGAGCCTACTTATAGAGATACAAGTAAATGTTCAGTCAACAAGAATTGGTGATGTGGGTAGAGTGGGATGAAGTCAGAGGCCAATGAAGAAGTGGGACACAAGACAACTACCAGATTTATACCTTGGGATGCTGAGTGACTGGTAATGTGAATCATGAGAGAACACAAGAAACAAAGGTTTGGAAGAGGTGATGAGTTGAATGAAATTGGTTTTGCTTTTTGAGTATGAGGGGCCTGTAGAACATCCAGGTGGACATGCTGTCTTGTCTTTAACAAATTTTTTTCAGGTCCCAACTTAAATATACAGGGTGAGGCAAAAGTAGGTTTAGTTATTCATATGAAAAATTCTATAATAATTAATAAATAATATAAGAATAAACTCTTGTGTTTCACATATTCACAACTCTAAGCCTACTTTTGTCCCACCTTGTAATTGTTAGCCTTCCACTATGCCCACACTAGGTTAAATCTCCTGCCTCACACTGCCAATGCATCTTACACTCCTTTGGGGCACTCATCATGGTTTTAATGTCAATTTCTCTAGCATTGTTCTTCTGCCATCACACTATAAGTTCTGTGAGGTCAGAGACTGAGTTGACTGGGTTCTATGTCTGTTTGTCCCCACCATTGTATGCCCAGTACCTAGCACAGTTCCTGGCACAGCAAATATTAACTGAATGAAGGAATCAATGTCCTGGAGGTCAATGGAAACACAAGTGTGACCCAGGAAAGGTCTGGGCTAGACAGAGGTAGATGTGGGTATTATCAATATATAGGTTATAGTTAAGGTTGCAAGAGAAAATTAAATCTCTAAAGAAAGGTGTAGACTGAGAAATGAACTGGGTCCAAGATGAAACTCTCAACTACACCAGTATTTAAAGGGCTACTAAAAGAGGAGATGCCTTCAAGAGTATCTTAGAAGGAACAGCAGTAACTAGGGTGGCAAATAAAGATTCTATCAGCAGTGATTCTAATAAGGGGGAGTTAGAGAAATTAAGTGGGGCAGATTATTCAGAGTTCTGGCTGACAGACCAAGAAGTCTGAGTTTGGACTCTTAAGCAATAGGAGTGACTGAATTTTGTTTCAGAAATTGCACTATCACCAACTTCCAAGCCCTGAGCACCAATTGATTTGTCCTCTTCTTTGTGTGGTTTTTATTGTTCATTCAAGCAAAGGAGGGGAGTGGGGAAAGGGGAGCAGCATTTCAGACATGGGAATGGCATGTGCGGGAGGCCCAAAGAGAACACGGTGCATTTTAAACACTGAAGAGTCTAACATGGTTAAAACTCACAAAAAGGAAACATGGCTGGGTGGGGTGATTTGAGCCAGACCTTGGAGAACCTGAAACATATTTAGAAGTTTGGACTTTCTGCTGAGAGCAGAGGGAGTCATTACAGGATTTTCAGTCAATTTGCCTTCTGGTAACATTACTGTAGCTGGAGTCTAATGGTTGCATAACAGACTGTACCAGTTTGCCTCAGGACTACTAAATAGATTGGGAGGAAGACACAAATATGGATAGATTCATACATGGTTAGATGGATACTGAAAATGGGGATTAAATGAAAGTTTACACACTCAGTGTTGAACCTTGCCCCAAACTTATTCACCAAGCTCTTATAATACCTACAACCAGGCTTATATCCTCCAAGTGGAAGTTTGGAAGATTCTTCTCTTGAGAAATCTGATCAGACCAAAAAGAGAAAAAATATAATGATACTGACAGCAAGGTATCCTCAAGTAAATGGCCTAATGGATTACCTACAGTAAAGTCCACAACAATATGCCACTGCTTTCCTGACACACAGATTTCAATCAGTACTTTAGTGTGCCAATCTTACATATGAGCAGAAACTAAAGATTGCCAGACACTTGTGGAAATCCTCCAAAATGAAAGATAGGGGCCAAAACAAAAAGAAAAAGAAAAAAGTAAGCCCTGGCTGGTGTGGCTTAGTGGACTGAGTACTGGCCTGCAAACCTAAAGGTCAACAGCCACCTGTCTAGGTTGCAGACCAGGTCCCCAGTGGGGGTGCGCAAGAGGCAATCAAACATTGATGTTTTGGTCCTGTGCTTTCTACCTCCCTTCCCCTTTCTCTAAAAGTAAATAAATAATAAAAAATATTTTCACCAAGAGTTGGGGTAACCGGCCATGTAGCCCAGTTGGTTTGAGCATCATCTCACTATGTCAAGGTTGTGGGTTTGCTGCCCAGTCAGCGAAAATACAAGAATCAACCAATAAATGCATAAATAAGTGGAAAAACAAATAGATTCTTCTCTCTCTCTCTCTCTCTCTCTCTCTCTCTCTCTCTCTCAAAAAATCAATGAATAAATTTTAAAGCTGGGGCAAGTGGTCCATCGCAGTGCCCTTGAAATGCTACCACCAGATGGCAGCCTACTCCCCAGGCCTGCCGCAGTCTTGGAACCACCACAGATCACCCAGATACTGGAGGCTTTTGTCTGGGTCCCAAAAGTGACCAACAAGCCTATGTGCCAAGCTGGTCCCCTGCTCTTCTTTTCTCTATATTCCACAGGCCAGAGCCAAGAATCTGGCTCACTAAAAGTGAAAGTCATTTTGGGCCCACTTTTACCTCTATGAGCCACATCCACTGACCAGAACACTGAGGAAGAATCATAGAGTGGCTGAAGGATATCAGATCACCAATTCCTTTACCCAACACCACAGCAGGACATAGGAATTATCATTTATTTTTCACCCTCAGTAAGCAGGCAGAAAGAGCCTTCCCTCAGTTCTGCTGTTTCTGTACTTTGGGAATGTTCACCCCTAATTCTCCTTCCTTCAGAGAGGTCTTTAGCAATGGAGGTGGTCTCTGAAGAGTGCTTGAGCTAGTGAGGAAGGAGAAACTCATATTGGGTGAGATCCCTGAGGCATGGCGTCACTTTTCTGCCAACTTCCTCATCGCCTCTTCTTCAAAGCGAAAGGAGTGCCAGCCCTCTGCTTCACTTAGATCTTGGGCTCCTAGATCCTTGTACAAGTCCATAGCCTTCTTGTTCCAGTCCAAGACTGACAGGCGGAACTGGGAGCAGCCCTTATCCAAGGCTACCTGGGGGAAAAGACATCACTAACTTTCCTGGGAAAGGCTTTTTCACCTTCCATTCAAGCTTGGGTGCCTCCCACACATCTTTGTCTTGCCAGGGCCTGGCTTGTAGCCCCATCACACTCCTTACCTCAGCTACCTTTTTGATTATTTTGGAACCAATCCCCTGACCTAATGTGGGGGAAAAGACAAAGAGAGGGATTGTGTGAGTTGAAGGGAGTCAGATAAAGCCATAGGTTGGGATTAGATGATAGGTTTATGGGTTGCTTTTCTCCCACCCCAGCCTCAGCCTCTGTTCTGTACCCCGGTATTCTGGCTTAACATAGATATCTTCCAGATAAATGCTGCGTCCCTTCCAAGTGCTGTAAATGAAGTAGTACAGCCCATAGCCCACCAGACAGGACCCTGAAAAACAGAGAGAAAAGAGAGGTCAGGCCACTGGGTGCCTTGGGGAGAGACCTCTGAGGTTGACTGGAGCAGACCGCTGAGGTGGATGTGTGTTCTTACCCTGTGGCTCCCCGGGGCTGGGAAGACTCTCTGCTACCAAACAGTAATAGAAAGGATTCTCTCCGAAGCCGTCTGCCCGTAACTCTGCACAGATGTAATTGCGACAAAGAGAGAAAGAGATGCCGGTGTGGGACCAGCCACGAGCTACTGCCTGGAGAACCCATCCCTCGCTTCCTCCCAGCCTCCGTCAGGACCCAGGTGCTGAGCCCCCAACCTTCTTCAGAGATCTTCACCTGATCCGAGAGTTCCTCAAACTCAGCTAGTTCCTATGGCGTGGGGACAGAGACCAGATTAGCACCAGAGCGCCCCGCAGCTCCGGGAGTAGATGGGCGCACTCCTCCCCTCTGCTCCCACCTCCTCCGCACCCTCTGCTTCCTACCGGCCCCCTCCAACCTCGACGCTCTGACCCCCTCTGAAACCCTGTTTTCTGGCCGGCAAACTTAACCCGAATCAGCCTCAGAATATTTCCACAGTCTTCTTCCTTGGCCTCTCGGATCCTCACGAAAACCATCCTGATCCCCACTGTCTGGGACCGAAGTCCAGGATCCCCACTTCCTTTCGGCAGGACCCGGCGAAGGGCAACTGGGACCCTTTAAAAGGGCGTACAAATTAGGATCGATGAAAGCCAGAGGAGAATAGTGTCTGCGAGAAGCGTGGAAGCGTGGGCTAGAACGCGGATGTGCGATTCTGCGAGGAAGGTCCAAGGAAGCAGCCAGGAGGGGCGGTCCTTACTGCCTAGTGGCCCCTAAATTCTGCCCCAGCAGTAGCGCACCAGCCAATCAGCTTTCAGGGTAGGCACGTCCCGCCCCTTCCCCAGCCCCGCTCCTCTCGGCTGTGTCACCTGACTGGGCTAAGGTCTGGGCCTAGCTGCCGAGGCTCCCTCGCTGCTCACGTGGGGTGTCGCAATCTGCTTAGGAGAAACCTCACGCTCAAAAGCTCTCGGGGGCCCTTCGGTAACTGAGGTGTGCGGTGGTTATCTGCTCTACCCTTTACTCTCACTTACCCAATCAAGCCCATCCACACTGTTAGGACTCCCAGCTTTTAGCTATGATTGTCGGGTGGCTCAAAGTGTTTCTTTTCTGGGGCCGTTTCTTTTTTGGGCCCCTTTTCTGGGGTGTTTGTTTGTTTTTTAAAGATTTTAATTTATTTATTTTGAGAGAGAGGGGAAGGAAAGGAGAAAGAGGGAGAGAAACATCATTGCGTGGTTGCCTCTCACGCACGCACCAGGCACCTGGCTGGCAACCCAGGCATGTTCCCTGCCTGGTAATAGAACTGCCGACCGTTTGGTTCACAGGACAGCACTCAATCTACTGAGCCACACCAGCCCGGGCGCCATTTGTATTTTAAAATGGGTCAGGAAGGGGGCGATGAATTTCTGTTGGTAAATGGTAGGCCTTGCAATAAACGAAGAAAAGAAGATAATACAGTTTCCACTAAATCACACTCAGAGACAATACTTCCCTGTGAAGCAAGCCTCCCAGACCTGGGGTGGCACTCAGAGCAGATACCAGGCACTGTGCCTGCATTATCTCAGTTAATTCTCATAACAGGAATGGTGTAAAGTAGGCACTATTTCCCTGGCTGGTGTGCCTCAGTGGTTGAGTGCCGGCCTGCGAACCAAAGGGTCACTGGTTCCATTCCCAGTCTAGAGCACATGCCTGGGTTATGGGTGAGGACCCCGGCAGGGAGCACATAAGAGGCAACCACACATTGATGTTTCTCTCCATTTCTCCCTCCCTTCTCTCTCTAAAAAATAAATAAAATCTTAAAAATATAAAGTAGGTACTATTTTTCACATTTTACAGACAAGGACATTAATGCACACCCACAAAGTGACCTGCCCACATCACTTACCTAGATATTTGGGCTTTGGTGCCTTGGCTCTAGTCCTGACTGGGCTGCTGCTTGAGGAGCAGGACAGGACTGTCCAGACAGCCTCCCCAGGTGGCCAGAGGCTTAGACAACCCAGGTTAGGCTGTAGAAGAGGAGAGGGAAAATGGGGTGCTCTCTCTCAGCTCAAAGTTTCTCTGCAGTGGGGGAGGGTGGTAGAGGAACTCTGTCCCTCATGCCCATTTGTCCCCTCAGAGGAGTGGTAGGGTCAGTGTCCCTGTCTCCTGCCCCCCCTTCTTCCCCCGGGCAACCTTTAACCTTCCGCTGACCATGCAACCATGCTCAAGGCTGCCTGCTCTTACACATTCACTCAAGAGTTGTCTGAGCCACAGAGAGGACTGCGGTTGATTATGGAGTACAGAGGTCCTCTGGCCAAATCATGTTGGCTGCTGCTACTGCTGCTGTTGCTGCCATCTCATAACCACCAGGGACACGTTCTGAGACAGATTTCCCCCACCCAGGTGCAGGAGCGGGACAGGGCACTCAGCCCCTGTGTTTAAATGAGCTACATTTTGTTTCTACCCTTTTCCTTTCTTTCCTCCTCTGGCTCTACAGCACTGCCTCTCTCTCTGTCTGTCTCTGAGATGTCCTTATTCCAGCTTGTTTATTTTCTTTCTCTGATAGGGGACCCAGGAGCCTCCTGCTGTGCACCTCAGCAATGGCCCAGGACAAGAGCCTGTCTCCATCATGACCTTTAACCTGACCAAGATCACAAAGTATAGAGTTGATCTAGTCCCTTGATCTAGTCCCCTGACTTTATTATCTCCATGAGCTCTTCTCTCTTCCTTAGCTCCCTATCCTTCTCTCTCCCTTACTTCCCCACCTCCACAAGCCACACATTTACCCTCAAAGGGCACACCCTATACACAGCCCTTTCTTCTGTGCCCTTCCAGAAGCTCTTCCTTCTTTGAGTTTCGAACCTGGGATCCAGAAGGAGTGATTTTTTATGGTGACACCAACCCAAAGGATGATTGGTTTGTGCTGGCACTTCGGGATGGCAGGCCTGAGATCCAACTGTACAATCAGTGGGCCCAGGTTACTGTGGGCTCTGGACCACGGCTGGACGATGGGAGGTGGCACCAGGTAAGCCAGACCTGGTCCTGAGGGGAAGGGTATCTTGAGCTGGTCTGAGGAAGAAGAACAAAAAAAAGTTATTGGGTATCCCATTGCCATTGTCATCTCATTTAATCTGCACAAAACCCCATTTTTTCAGAGGGGAATTCTAAAGCTCAGTATATAAGTGACAAGTCCTAAGTGAGCCAAGGATGCTAGCTGACTCCTCAGGTGCATGTTCTTTCCACTATACTTGGCTGAATCTGAAGAAATTATTGCAGGCAGGCCCCAGAGACCTCTGACTCTGCTTCTCCCCTCATTTCTGCAGGTAGAAGTGACGGTCGTTGAGGACTCAGTGCTGCTGGGGGTGGATGGGGAGCAGGTGCTGCGTCTGAGACAGGTCTCTGGGCCTCTGACCAAAAAATCCCAGCCCATAATGAGGATTGCTCTAGGGGGACTGCTGTTCCCTGCCTCCAACCTCCGGTTGCCGGTAACTGCATTACAGGGGTGGGAACATAAGCTAAGCTGGTAAAACACTGATGCCTTGGTGGCCATGAGGGTCTAAATCCACACTTGCAAGAAGAGGGGTCGGGATAAGAGCTGCAAGGGGGAGGCCAAATGCTTGTGTCTTGAAGGGGAATAAACTGAAGGTGAGGAGGCTGGGACTGGGCTCAGATGTCCCAATTCCAACATCCCTGCATCTTCCCTTCCCCCCATGGGCTCCAGCTGGTACCTGACCTGGATGCCTGCCTGCGTAGGGATAACTGGCTAGACCAACAGGCTCAGATTTCAGCGTCTGCCCCTACTAGCCTCAGAAGCTGTGCTATAGAATCTCAACCTGGGATATTTTTCCCTCCAGGGACTCGTGCAGAATTCAATCTCCAAGGTAAAGGCTATTTTCCCCCTCCATGGCCAGCTCTCTGTTTGCCTTCCTCCAACTCCTTCCACCACTAGTCCCCTTTCACCATGAATCACCAGTTTTGAGGCTTCAGGAGGATCATTTCTCCCCCACACCCAGATGTTCCCCAGCCTCATGTAGATCCCTGGACCTTCTCTCTGGACCTGGGACTTCAGCTGGCAGCAGGCTCTGGCCACCTCCTTGCCCTTGGGACCCCAGCAAACCCTTCTTGGCTCAGCCTTTACCTCCAAGATCAAGTAAGAGGGAGAAACATCTATTTGTTGTTCCACTTGTTTTCATTGGTTGATTATTGTATACGCCCTAGCCAGGGATCAAACCCTTGGTATATCCGGACAATGTTCCAAGCAACTGAGCTACCCAGCCAGGGCCACAAACAGCTTTTATTTAGATTGTTTGTTTACTTGGCATGTGTGTGGCTTTATGGGAGGTCAAGCCGGGAGAATTGAGGCGGGATTCAGGAGGTGGGAATGGTCAGTAGGAGGTGTAGCTAAGAGGCAGAATTAAGGCAGCTGGAGGTGGGGCCTCGGGGAGTAGATATGGTTCATTCTTTCCTCCCCCACTTATGTCCCTGTCCCATACACTCTGCAGAAGGTGGTACTGTTTTATGGGTCAAGGCAAGGGCTGGATCTGCCCCTGGTCTTGGGACTCCCTCTTCAGCTGAAGCTGGATGAGTCCAGGGTGCAATTGAGCCACGGGCCAAAGAAGATCCTTGTTCAGCCTCCCATGGGCCTTGATGACTCCCTCCTCAACCTCTGGGCCCATCCCCAGGGGCAGCTCTTCCTGGGGACTTTGCCAGGTAAGTGAGAGTGATGTTCAAGTTGGTCACCACACTATTGGAAATATCTAAAGGCAGGGGAGAAGATAAGAAAGGGGTACATTTATAGGGAAGGAAACCTTTGGGAGCTCAGAAGAAAAGGCCACAAGAAGAGAGAGGATAGGGGGCAGTGGGAGGAATTGTTTTAAAAAACTGAGTTTGGAGAAAGGAGGAAAAGTGGGGAAGAGCTTCTGGAGCCAAACCACCCTAATGCCCTAATGCCCCTTCCATGCCACCTCTCTCTAGGAGAGACCTCTTCTGCCTCCTTTTGCTTGGACGGCCTGTGGGCACAAGACCAGAGGTTAGACTTGGATCGGGCCCAAAGCAGAAGCAAGGACATCTGGACTCACAGCTGTCCCCAGTGCCTAGGCAATTGCACTAATACTACCCATTAAATCCCCATCTAAGAACTCCCTTTGAATGTCACTTATCTATTTATTCAACAAATATTTATTGTACATTTGCAAGGTATCAACCAGTCATGGGGCTGAGCACTGGGTTGTGTTGATGCACAAAAACAACTGTGGTTTCTGCCCTCTTGATGCTCACAGTCGTCCCTTGGAGAAGGCATGTGTTCATCAAAAACTGACAAATAAGTGGATAATCGGAAACACTGGATAATTGGAAACACTGATAATGCCATAAAGGAGCAGTCAGGGAGCTGAGAAAGTTTGTAGACCAGGAGCCTTAACCTAGACTGGGGACCAAAGAAGCATCTTGAGGAAGCAGTGAGGATCTCTTGAGGATCTCAGGCTGAGATCCCAGCAACAGCACCCATAAACATGCATGCCAGATATAGATCACTTTCTGGGAGCCAGGAGACCACCTCTTTCTCCAGCAGATATCTACTCTCTTCCCTTTGGGACTTTAGCTTCCTCTCTCTGAAGATGGTCCTGAGGGGTCATGGGGAAAGAGAGGAGAAACTGAATTCTGTTGTCCTCTAGACTGGCTTCTGCTGTTCAAGGAAGGAGCAGCAGGGGGCATGAGAGAGTTATAGAGAGATGGGGGCAGGGGTTTTGGCCAAAGGGGTGGAGGTAGCAAGGAAAAAGAAAAAGGGAAGAGAGCAAAGGAAGCGAGCTGCCCCTATCTCTCCTAGTCTCGGTCCATTTGCTGCATTCTACTCTATTAAGCAAGAACTGGCTTGTGCTGGTCCTCGCTGGGAAGAACAGATAGATTCCAGAACATCTCTGCCCTCAGAGAATATGGTGACTCAACCCTCAGCTTCCAGACCTTTGGGGAAATCCTGGTCCTCCAGCCTCTCCCAGGGGCACCCTCCTGCCTCAGCCCCCTGCTCCCTGGAAAACCCTCATGCCCACCCACGCCTCCAGCCTCTAGCCTCCAGCTCCCATTCTTCAATCCTCTTGAGAATCCTTATGTCCCTCTAGGGAGCCCTGGGACTGCAGCTCTGAGTCCCCATCTCTGAGTCCTCTTTCGTTTCAAGAACTGTTAACCCTAAAAGGGGCTTCTGTCTACTGTGAGTGGCACGCATAGGGCAGTTGATTGCTCTATGTGAGAATCGACATCAAGAGATTTCAGAAGCATAACCTTTTGGTATCTGGGAAGCTGGTAATCATTAGTCCTGGTCCCCAAAGGAAAGACAGAGGGAGAGAGAAAGGGAAGAGAGAAATAAAGGAAGAAAGGAAAGCAAGAACAAACTGTTAACCCATGGACATCCAGTATCCCAACCTCCTAGCTTCTTATAAAAATCTTCCTACCAGTAATGCAGGCACCAGGGTGTGTTACTCACTGGACCTGCTGTCCCCTTCCACAGGGGTCAGCCAAGACGTGTGTGAGATCAGGGTAAGGAGGCTCCAGGGGAGTGTTTAGGGTAGAAGATGAAAATCTAGGGTCCTAGGCCCCTGCTTGGACTCACCTAATCTCAAGTTTACAGGATCTTACAGCTGACTCCACCCAGTTACAGAGTTTCAGTGTTTTTAATTTTTATTTATTATCATTATTATTTTTAAAATATTAGAAAGGGGAAAGGAGGGAGAAAGAGAGGGAGAGAAACATCAATGTGTGATTGCCTCTTGCCCATCAAGGAGGTTGTTCTGAATGGCAACTTCCTGACCTTGTGTCCTGAGGAATCTCCCAGGGGCTGGCTTTTCACTCCTCCCTCCAATGACCTGTTCAGGACACCATGCCCCCAACCTCTTTCTCCAGCTTGCCCTAGATTCCAAGATTCCTGATTACCATTCAGAGCTGTCTACACTCTTTCATTAAGACTGACTTTGCTTTGACACAGACTCTGCCAGGCCCCCACCAAGGGCAACAATGCCTGCCCTGTGTCCCCTGCCTCTTCCCCATCCCTAAAAACCTCTCTGGACCTTGTCAGCATATCCTGCAGATTCCAGGCTTGGTTTACCCACTCGCTTCACCCTCCCCTCTGCCTCTCTCTTCCCTTCTTTCCCTCCTTTCTTTCTCTCCCTCTTTCCCTTCTGCCTCTGTTTGTCTTCCCTTCAATTAACATTTATTGACCGCTGACAGTGTGCCAAGCACTGTATTGGGTCATCCACAGGGACTGTAAAAATGAATAAGTCTTGTGAGACAGACAGATAGACAAACATGTAATAGAGATCTCTACTGAGTGCCAAGGTACTTGGTTTCAAGTTCTATCAGGAATCATCAAAGAGGTGAGTTTTTGAAAATGTGAACTTGAACAAATGATTAAACCTCTTTAAATTTCAGTTTCCCCATCTATAAAATGGGGAAGTTACCCTACTCATAGGCTTCCTGTGAGGATTTGATGCTATCATATAGGTCAAATGCTTAGCACAGTGCTGGGCATAACTGGGCATAAAGAAGGGGCTCAACATGTGAGAGATGTTGCTCTTGTTGATACCCTTAATCTTGTGCATATTTCTTGAAACACAAGTCTGAACCTGCAGACTCATAGAAGAGGAGGAAGGGTGTGTGACGTGGCTGAACCAGGGACAGGCTAAGATGGAAGGAGGGCAGACTGCAGACATTCCTTGGGCCTCGTGGTTAGAGGCCTTGTACATCCTGCTAAGGAGTTGGAGCTTGATCTATTCAGTGAAGGAACATCTGTTTTTCTTTTCTTTTTCTAAATAAATTGTGGTGAAATACACATAACAAAATTTACCATCTTATCCCTGACTGGTGTAGCTCGGTGGATTGAGCATGGGCCTGTGAACCGAAGGGTTGCCAGTTCAATTCCCAGTCAGGGCACATGCCTGGGTTGGGGGCCAGGTCCCTAGTTGGGGACATGTGAGAGGCAACCACACATGGACATTTCTCTCCCTTTCTTTCTCCTTCCCTTCCCCTCTGTCTAAATAAATAAAATCTTAAAAAACAAAACTTACCGTCTTAACCATTTTTAACTGTACAGTTCAGTGGTATTATGCATATTGACAGTGTTGTGCAATCATTACCAACATCCCCCTCCAGAACTTTATTTTCCAAATTATAAGGAAAAATTTGTTTAGAAACTTACAGAGGTAGTAGAAGTGAGCCAGCTGGCTTTGTAGGCTGAGGAAACAAGTTACAGAGGCAGAATAAAGGCCCTTGCCCTTAGGAGAGAGAAAGGCAAGTGTAATGTGCTGGGAAGAAGAGGGGCGAAGGGAAGGCTCACGTCCAAGAGGAACAGTTTGTCCATCTCCAGAATTCTTTATTTTGAAAAATTGAAACTCAGTACCCATTAAATAATACTCGCCATTTTCTGCCCCACCTAGTGTGGCTCAGTGGATTGAGCATTGTCATTGAGAACTGAAAGGTTGCCGGTTTGATTCCCTAGTCAGGGCACATGCCTGGGTTGTGGGCCAGGTCCCCAGTTGCAGGCATGAGAGAGGCAACCAATCAATGTTTCTTATTCTCTCTCTCCCTTCTCCTCTCTCTGAAAACAAATAAATAAATAACATTTATTTTTAAAAGTACACCCCATTTTCCCTCTCTCCCTGTGTTTCATAACTCTTCCTCCCTCGTTCTTGTCTCTTCCAAGCCCCATGTTGTTGGGAACCCAGAGAGAGCTGAGCCCCTGGGATTGTATGGATTTGTGGGGGAGCATGGTCAAGGAGCACAGACTTCACGACTGGCTCTAATGTAGGAGAGAGGCTACGGGGCTCTTATTCCCTTTCCAGAGGTGCTGGAGGGAGGGCAGTGTTTGAGGAAGAGTTTGGAGGTTTGTAATGACTCTCTGTGCTGCCACCCCTTTCTTAGCTGTTTCTCCTGTGAACAGCAGTGGGGCATTTAGAAGAGTGTTCCCTCCTCCCCTCTGCCCCCTCTCCTGTATGGTGATCCTCACCTACAGGAGAAGAAAGCATAGACTGGAGTAAAGCTATCTCGCTCTTACCCTAGAGCCCACTAAATAAACAGAAGACATTTATTCATTCTTTTCCAAGTGGGCCTGGGTACGTGTCAGAGACAGCCGGCAGCCTGGAGGCCATCCCAGGCCTGTGCTGGCCAAACTGCGCACCTTGAGGGTAGGGTCCAGACCTTGTCTCTTCAGATTAAGACTGTTCTATTTTTATGCTCCTTGCCTGGTGAAGGAAAGGACAAGTAGTTTTCCTGAGGTTTCTTGCAGAAAAAGCCATTCCACATTTAAGTCCATTCAGCAGCCAGACATTATCTTCAGTAGCCCAGTGGGATGCTTGGGTATGCAGGATATATGCAAAGTCTAAGATACAGGCCTGCTCTCAAGTAGCTTACAGTCTGGTTCAAAAGATAAAATACAGCCTTGGTTGGTGTGGCTCAGTTGGTTGGAGCGTTGTCCTGTAGACTACAAGATCACAGGTTTGATTCCTGGTTGCAGGTTTGATCTCCAGTCAGGGTGCTTCTCTCTCACATCTCTCTCTCTCTCCCTCCCTCCCTCCCCCCACCTTCTTCACTCTCTAAAAGCAAAGGAAAAAAATGTCATTGGGTGAAGATTAAAAAAAAAACAAACCCTGGCTGGTGTAGCTCAGTGGATTGAGCATGGGCCTGCGAACCAGAGGATTGCGGTTCGATTCCCAGTCAGGGCACATGCCTGGGTTGCAGGCCAGTTCCCAGCAGGAGACACACAAGAGGCAACCATACATTGATATTTCTCTCCCTCTCTCCTTCCCTTCCCCTCTAAAAATAAATAAATAAATAATCTTTTAAAAATTAATAAAAAATAAAAAAAGATAAAATACACACAAGAGTTTTCAACCCAGTTGATCAAAGCAAAAACCTAAGCATTAGCCTTGATTCCTCTCTTCTGTCATCTCCATTGGTCATGTCATCCTATTTCCGAAGTATACCCTGAACCCAGCCTCCTGTTTCCATCTGCGAACCCGCTACCCTGGCCCAAGCCATCCATATCTTCCACTTGGACTGCTGCAAAGCCTTCCTAACTGGTATCATTTCACTCCTCTGCTTAAAACAATAGAATTGCTTCTGTGATGGTTGGATTAAAATCCAAACTACTCCTTTTGGTCTACAAGGACCTGTATGATTTGGTCCCTGCCTACCTCTTGGATCTCTTGCTTTATCAAATCTTGCCTTCCATCATTGAAGTCCAGCCTTTGCACTTGCATTTCCCTTCTCCTGGAAAGCTCTTCCTGCATCTCCTCGTGGCTCCTTTGAGTCACTCAGGTATCACATTATAAGTCACCTTTTCAGTAAGGCCATCCCTGACCATCCAGGCACTGTTTTGTTTTTTCCGCATAATATTAACATTATTTTATTTGTTTCCTTGCTTTTATTGTGTATTGGTATGGGAGCCCCAAGAGTACAGAAACTAAACAGTGCCTGGTTCTAAGGAAAGGCTCACTGGATACCCATTAAATGAATGAATAGAAGCTGGAGTGAACTCCGGAAGGATGAGCAGCCTTCCAGGATGAGGAAATAAAGTGGACAAAGGTGTGAAGGCAGTAGTAGGTGCAGCCTCTGCTGGAAATGGATGGTTCAACTCCAGCAGAGGACTAGTTGGGGCCTAGTGGGAAAAGGGCTGAGGACACAGGCTGGATCTAGACTGTGGAGTGCTCTGAAGGTTAAACTGAAGAGTCAGGACTCTGTCCTGCAAGGGTAACAGGAAGCTATTGAGCTGAGGAGTGGCCTAATTAAAACTGTGACTTAAAAAAAATTTTTTTTATTTAGTGATTTGAGAGAGAGATAGAGAGAAAAACATCAATTTATTGTTGCACTTACTTATGCATTCATGGGTTGATTTTTTATGTACCCTAACTGGGGTTGGAACCTACAACCTTGGCACATCTTGACAATGCTCTAACCAACTAAGCTACCTGGCCAAGGCCTAAAACGGAATCTTGAGAAAATTAATCCAGAATCTGCTGCAGAAGGGACTGAAGTAGGGCCAGCCACATAACTTTTAGGACCTACTGCGAAATGAAAATGCAAAATCCCTTGTTTAAAAAGCAAGAAAAAGGTACGGTTCAAGGTACTGAACTATAAGATGTTCCTTTTTTTTTTTTTTGAGAATTGTTTGGACCCTTTTAATTTTTATTTATTTATCCTTAGAAGGGAAGGGAAAGAGAGAGGGAGAGAAATATCAATGTATGGTTGCCTCTCATGTGTCCCCTGCTAGGAACTGGCCTGCAACCCAGGCATGTGCCCTGACTGGGAATCGAACCACAATCTTTTGGTTCGAACCGTGCTCAATCCACTGAGCTATGCCAGCGAGGGCTTAAGATGTTCCTTTTTTTCCACAATTCTTTTCTCTACTTCTCATGGTATTCTTTTTAAAAGATTTTAATTTATAAATAAAGATTTTATTTATTTTTAGAAATAGGGGAAGGCAATGAGAAAGAGAGGGAGAGAAACATTGATCTGTTGCCCCTCACATGCCCCCAACCCGGGACTTGGCCGAAAACCTGGACATGTGCCCTGACAGGGGATCAAACCAGTAACCTTTCAGTTTGTGAGATGACGCCCAACCCACTGAGCCACATCAGGCAGGGCTCTCACAGCGTTTTTAATTTGCGATTTAATGTTCAGTTAACCTTCTATCTTCAGTTTGTTGATGAATATGGAAGGGTGAAAGGAAAAGAAATTATGTGTTGCCCTAGCTTTTCCGTCTGTGTCATCGTTGCCAGCAGAAGTGGTTAGCTAAATCAAGGAAGTAACGTGACTGAGAAAGAATTTGATAGGATGTCTTGATCATCCATGTCTCCTAGAAAACCACTGCCTTCTTTCTGTTTTCAAAACAAGTTCAAAGCAAATGGAAAGTTTGGCCCCTCAGCTTTCAGCCCCTCTACTTATTCAGGTGTAGACATAACACACGTTCCCTTGTACTCACTTTGAGTCTCCCTAAACTCCCATGCAAGGTGGTTCTACCAGAGTTCTGTGTTCATGGAGCTTCATGAATGGCAATAGTGCTCATATTGCCTCTGCCCACATGTATGCTCCATTGTCCCATTGGACTTCATTTACAAAGCACAAGTTCAAAGATAAAATTATGAAGAATTTCAAGATGGTGGTGCTAGCAGAGCACTAAACAAAGCACAAGGCCATTCTGAGCATGGGCCTTGTTTGAGCAGATCCCAAATCTATGAAATGAACCCTGGATGGGAGGGAGGGAGTTTGAGGGAGACAATGACAGTCAAAAAGGGAACTGTGTCCTGACTGGCATAGTGCAGGGGGTTGGACATCATCCTACAGAGTGAAAGGTCCCCAGTCCCATTCCTGGTCAGAGCATGTGCCCAGGTGGCAGGCCAGGTCCCCAGCTGGGGGCGTGTGAGAGGCAATCAATAAATGTTTCTCTCACACATCAATGTTTCTCTCCTTTCTCCCTCCCTTCTCCTCTCTCTGAAAATAAATAAAATATTTTTTTTCTCTTGTAAAAAGGGGGAGTTTTTGAGGACTACATCCAAGGATTTAGGATGAGAGTTGAAAGAAGAAAAACTTCTCCATGGAAAAGTGACAAGATTTGAAGAGAGATGAAAAGAGAATTATTCTTAACATGAGGTCTTTAGAGGCTCTTGTATCCCCCAATTAGACTGTGGGCCTCTTGAGCCCTGTGAGAACTTCGGCCTTACCTGTCCAGGGCTGTGTTTCTCAATAGGTGCTCAGTACATGTTTATTGACACGTGGTCAAGTGAGGACAGAATTCAGATAAGGGGGTGGGAGGGGACAGAACAATGGATCAGGCAGAGAAGCAGACCAGGCTCCAGGGCTGATGTCTCAGGGCAATGCTGGGGCCTGGGAAGGCTTCACTGACGCATGTGGTGGGAAGACCACAGGTTCTTAGGCTTGGAGAGAAACAGGTGAAGGGAGAAGGGCCTGAGGGACTAGAGAGGAAGGTGTTGGGGGAAACTGGTAGCAGCTCCCACAGGGGTATTTCCCTCCTGTGGTGGCCTCTATCTATCTCTTTGTGGCCCGTTCTAGCTTCCATTCTGCTGGTCTCTTCCGTTTTCTTGGTTTCTGGCTCTTTCTCTATTCTGTTCACATTCTGCCCTGTCTCCTGAATCTTAGCCTCTTTCTAACTCCCGGCCTGGGTAGCCCATCTCAGCAGCTATCTGCTTCCCTCTCAGTCTGTGTCTCTTCGGGGTAATCTTTCCTATCCTGCCCAGACACGCCCTCTATCTGCTACCCACATTGATCCAGTCCAGAACCTGGGCTGGGGGTAGGGGAGAGACCTCCTAGTCCAGAAGAGTCGGTTGGGGGCGGACCCAAGCCATCTCTATATTTGCATATGTATGAGGCTGCCCGGCCAGCAGCGGGGAGGCGGGACTTCTGGGGGTGGGGAAGGGGGCGGGCACCCCCATTGCGCTGACTATAAAGACTGCGCTCCGCGACTGCTGGCCCCGCACTGCTGAGGAGCGGAGCCTCGGGTTTGGGGCATTCTATTCCTGGCTGACCCCAACTGCGCGTTCCCCAACCCACTCCCGTGTCTGAGGCTACCGCTGGTGTGGCAGTCTCCGCTTGGCGGAAGAGTCTTCAGCGGTCACTCAACCCCTCTCCACAGCCTCTTTGAATGCCGGATTTCGGGGCGGCCCCCTCCCCCACCTCTCTTTTCGCTTCTTTGCACCCCGATTTGTTCTGCGTTTCTCTCGGGTTTCGCTGCCGTCTATTTTTGCATCCTTTTTCATTTTGCTTTTAGGAGGTGAGGTGAAGCTGCACTTGTACCCCTTCCCCTTTTTATCCTCTCGTGCTCTGACGACCCCCCTTTTCATCGCAGTTGGGGGCCCAGGATCGGTGCATCCCACGCTGCGCTTCCAGCAACCTGCAGCGCGTGGCCGTGCACCCCGGAATTTGCAGCAGTTGCATATCTGAAGGGGCTTTCCCTCGCATCGGCTGCCTTTGCTTTCCGAGCATTCAGGTGCGTGGGAGGGGGGCTACAGCGTACCGCACCCCAGCTTCTCCGTAGTCCCCCGCCCCGCGGGACTCGTTCCCTGCCGCCAAGATGGTCATCCAGAAAGAGAAGAAGAGCTGCGGGCAGGTGGTTGAGGAGTGGAAGGAGTTCGTGTGGAACCCGAGGACACACCAGTTCATGGGCCGCACCGGGACCAGCTGGGGTACGCGGGGCGGCCGCGCAAGGGGCGTGGTAGGGGGGGTTCTCTGGGTGACATCCTGGTGGCTCGAGGTCCCGCCTGTGTATCCCCAGCTCCCTTCCCCGGTTCCAGGCGTCCAAACCCCCAGTGATGCTCTGGGCTGGGAGGGGACAGAATCACCGGTCTAATCTCCCTGGCTGGCGCTGCGGAGGCAGAGAAAGTAGGTCACTGCCGCCTTCCCGCCCCCTGCGGAGCCCCTTGGAGGGGGGGGGGTCCCGGGCTTTGCGCCTGTGTCCGCTCCGCGGCGCTCGTGCTCGGTCTCCTAGGCTGGTCCAATCCACATAATCATCCTCCTTCCCTCCCAATGGCTCCCAACTAGCTTGCCAAGCCCATCTATTTTTAGTTCATGCCCACCCCCTGAACCCTGGGAACATGCATGAGAGGGCGGGTCTTGGAGAGGTGGGGGTGTGTGTTGGAGAAGGCAGTTCTTCATACCGGAAGTTGTCTGCATCCCACTGTCAGCGTTTGGAGCCATCTGTGGCTGCTCTGTGGGTGGGGGCCTGTCGGGGAGAAATCGCACTGTGAGGTTTTTGGAGTCTGGATGTTCCTCTCAGATGTCGCAGGATTGGTTACTAGTGGTGAGAGGTGTACATCATCTGACCCACTATGTCTTTGGGGTTGGAGTGGCAAGACTCAGGATGTGTGGGGGGAGTTGTGTCTAGTTGGGGGTTTGGTGCTAGGTATGCATGCAGGTGACAGGTGGAATTCCATCAAAAGGGAATGACAAAATTGGAAGTCTGACTAAAGGGGACACTGTGTGACAATTTACTTAAGGGACACACAATTTAATTCAGTCAATTCATCCACACTGATTGAAGGATGTCTCCATCAGCCCGCCCACCTGGGGCCCTTAAGGTGGGTCCAATGCAGTCGTTGCCCGCAGGGAACCTGAGGTCCAAGTCCCTGGGATGGGAGGGTGTGTGAGTACTTGGGAAAATCATAAGGGAAGTGTCTTCTGAGGTGGAAGGACTGGGGGTCCCCACTGGGTACTCACACTAGGTTGAGGAGTGACAAAGTGCTATCTCACATCCAGCAAAGACCTGCTCTCTGCTGGGAAGGCTGTGGGAGGTTCTGCCTTTACTTTCTGCCTCTGCCCTGGGTGTTGTGTGTGAGCCAGGGGTGGGGTGACTGTTGAAGGTTCTGGGCAGCTGTGTCTGAGAGATTTTGCAGCTAGGTAGGAGCTGTGTTCAAGGTTTGTCTTCTGTGGGGCACCAGGAGAGAGATTTTGCTATTCAAGTGTGAGGGTCTACACTCTGAGGGACAGGATGAGAGTTTTGGTTGTGAACTGTAGCCAGTGCCAGCTTAAAAAGTCATTGTGGGGGCAGGGAGAGGGGTCTAAGGGTACTACATGGTAATGGAATAAAAATATAATGAAGATTGAATTTTTTTAAAAAGTCATTCTGCTGGACAACTTTAAGCATGAGTACTTACCAACCAATGCAGCAGTAACACATGTGCTTTTTCAGGGCCGTGAATAGTTGAAAACTGGGAATGTAGTTTGAGGTAAAATAACTGTGGCCTATCCTTGGGGTTGTCCCAGCAACCAGAGTTTAGGTCTCTTGTGGCCTTCACAAGGTCAGGCTTCACTGTGCCCTAGGACCAGGAGGGGGCTGGGAGTCATGGCTGGAAGCCAGACATAACTGCCTGTTTCCATCTTGTCTCATTTTGCTCCCCTCTGGGAAGGCCCTAAGATGTCCCTGAGGCTCTGTGACCCTCCCCAGTGCAGAACCTCTGAGTGTGTGGGATAGGTGAGTATTGTGGCAGGAGAACCTGCTGACTCTGTTTCCCCCTCCCTAGCCTTTATCCTCCTCTTCTACCTCATCTTCTATGGTTTCCTCACGGCCATGTTCACTCTCACCATGTGGGTGATGCTGCAGACTGTCTCTGACCATACCCCGAAGTACCAGGACCGACTGGCCACACCAGGTGAGTGAGGCTCTCCTGCCAGCCACTCTAACTGGTCCTGTGTCCCAAGCCTCCAGAAGGAACTCAGACTGAGAACTCAAAGTTCTCAGAGGTGTGGTTGTGATGCTCCAATCACCATGTGCTGGGAAGTTCTTGAAGTCTGACTTTTCCCCCATTTCCCACAGCCAAGAGCTGTGTGATCTGGGAAGATCTTTCTCCCATGAAGAAAATCTCAGGTCTTCACCCCATCCCTCACCCTAGTGTTCCCTGTGTCTGTCTGTCTTCTGTCCTCTGTGTGTGGTCTCACGTCTTATATACGCCTTGACTCCTGCCCTTGTCTGCCTATAGGCTTGATGATTCGTCCCAAGACTGAGAACCTTGATGTCGTTGTCAACGTCAGTGACACTGAAAGCTGGGACCAGCATGTTCAGAAGCTCAACAAGTTCTTGGAGCGTGAGTGTGGGACTGGAGATGTGGTTGTGCAGGACCTTGGGCAGGGGATTGGAGACCCTAGAAGTAGAACATCAGGCCATGCTCTCTCCCTACCTCCTTAGCTTACAACGACTCCATCCAAGCCCAAAAGAATGATGTCTGCCGCCCTGGGCGCTATTATGAACAGCCAGATAATGGAGTCCTCAACTACCCGAAACGTGCCTGCCAGTTCAACCGGACCCAGCTGGGTGACTGCTCTGGCATTGGGGACCCCACCCACTATGGTTATAGCACTGGGCAGCCCTGTGTCTTCATCAAGATGAACCGGGTAACCATGACCTTGGTTCCCAGGGAGAATGGAGGGGGGAGCTGGGCCCACTATCTACTGGCAGTTGCTTCCTTTCACAGGGGCTAATGGGCACTAGAGAGATTTTTGGATGTTTGAGTGGCTGAGAGAATAAGAAAGATGAGGCCACTGGAGGCTGAGATCTATGGCTAGAGGGCTAGATACTTGTGTCTTAGACAAGTCCTTTCTCCAACCCTCACCACTCTCCTCACTCCAGGTCATCAACTTCTATGCAGGAGCAAACCAGAGCATGAATGTTACCTGTGTGGGGAAGGTGAGTTTTTGGGCCTTGTCCACCTGCCCACAGTTTGTATGCCACAGTTTCCATGTAATTCACTCATCTCTCCCAATCTTCTCTGCTCCCAGAGGCCCCGCCACCATAGGGACAAGGGGGTAAGAATGGGCTCCAATGTGGCTCAGACTGCCAGGGGCTCCTGCCTCTCCTGCTCCTCTCTAGGATGCAGAAGCCTGCTCTTGTATGGATAGACGGCCCCCTCCCTGACTTTATCCACGCCCTGGCCTCTGGCTTCTCTTCTTAACTTTCTACCTTCTTCTCTACTTGCTGATAACCATGTCTTCTGCTCTCCCGTCCATATCTTGTCTGTCCCTCGGTTCTTTTTAGGTATCTGGTAGCTGCTGATCTGTTAGCACCATCTGCCACCACTAAGTTGTCCTTAGAACCCTACTCTCTCCACCTCTGTCGTACCTAGAAACATCCTGCCAGCTCTTTCCTCACCCCTTCTCCTTGCTTCCTACTGAGCTCTTACTCATTTAGCTGTTCTCTCTTGGCTCTGCTCCAGAAACCGGTTCCTGAGGATGGGGTAAGAACCTGAGGTGGGAATGGAGTAAGAGGCTTCAGTATCATTAGCACCCTTCAGGACTTCCCAGTCTGTGGAGACAGAGACAGGGTACCTCTTCCTGCTTGCACACAAACACACACACACAGACTCACAGCTCAAGGGAAAAAGATTTGGACAGAATATCTGGGGCCCCCAAACAAAGGGAAGTCTGGCAAGCTTCTGGGTTCCTTCCATCCCTAAGGAGCTCTCTGTTCTACCCTCCTGTGCCCTGACAGCGAGATGAAGATGCTGAGAATCTGGGCAGCTTTGTCATGTTCCCTGCCAATGGCAACATTGACCTCATGTACTTCCCCTACTATGGCAAAAAGTTCCACGTAAGTCCTATGGGAGGCCCTAGGGTGAGGGTTTCTCTGGGGGGAGTGTGGTCTTTGGGGAGGAGGCTGAGTCACCATGGGCCTGGACCCTCACTCTCCTCCTTTGGCCCAGGTGAATTACACACAGCCCCTGGTGGCCGTAAAGTTCCTGAATGTGACCCCCAATGTGGAAGTGAACGTGGAGTGCCGAATCAACGCAGCCAACATCGCCACAGATGATGAGCGAGACAAGTTCGCTGGCCGAGTGGCCTTCAAACTCCGCATCAACAAAACCTGAGACCCCTTCCTTCCGCCCCCCCCACCTCTTTCCTTGGATGCTTCTGGAATGTCCCTCTTCCTATACTTCTGAACCCAGCCTGATTAATGTACATCGTGATTCCCCACTTTCACATAACTTCCACCATCTCTCCCAACCCTAGTTCAGTCAGAGACAGGGGGATGGGATTCCAAGGAGGTCACAGAGGAGCTGCCTGGTTTAGCTGTGAGTGGGGTGTCCCCACAGCTACCCTCCTATCCCCTGAGAGATACAGAAAATGCCTGCCCACCTGCACACCCACACAGCTACACCCACACACTCTTATTTCACCCCATGGCTTCAAGACAGGAACGTGGCTCCCAGTTCTTCCATTCCTAAGTGTAGCTAGCTGCTGCTACCCTTCTCTGCCTCCCACGCTTTTCCCCTCCCAGCATACACTGTTGGTGTCTTGGTGGCTCCTCTGGTCAATCTGTGTCCACCTCTTCTCCATCTCCACTCTCTTTCCAGGATGGGCACCTTAGGATGAGTTTTTTTTCCCCCTATTTCCTGGCACATTCCTCTTTTCATCCTCAGGTGCCTGTGTGAGCTGGGAGTGAGAGTCTGGAAGAGAAGTCTGTGCTGGTTTTTCTTGAAAATTCTCTTCCTGGTCTCTGTCACCCAAACAGGCACTCCTCAGAGGGGCAATGTCGACCTAGGCTGAATATCCACTTTGTGTTTGCCAATGGCTCCCTTACTCCTGTCCAATTTCCCAGAATATCCTTCAAATTCAAGTTCCCAGGAGCCTTGGGGGAGGGGCAGCCATTTTGGATCTGTCCCTAGTGGCCACCTTGGAAACGTCAGCAAGCTCTGGGACTGACTATTCCACCTCCTTCCCCTGGCCCAGATCTGCCCCCACCATCCTCTCTCCGGCTTCTCTTAGCAATTTATCAATTAATCACTAACTTTTCCCCTTTTCTCTGCATACCAGCCTGAAACTTGCAAATACCCCTTCATTTTAGGTCCTGAATTTTCTGGCTTCAAATCCCTCTGCATTTTTAAATCACATCCTAGTAACCATAGAATTGTAAAAGAGGGACCTCCTGTATTCTTGAGTTAAAGAGGCATTTGAACTTTCTCCTCCGGTGCCCTTCACTCCCTTGCTTCTCTAATCTCACGTTTCTTTTTTGGGCTGCAGCCTCCACACCTGCCCACTAATGGACTCTTCCCTTTTTTCTCTTGTCAGATCTGAGTTTCTTCCCTTTGGGTCCCCATGTTTTCCTGCACTGCCCTTGCCCCAGTGGTCTCTCTGCAGTTATTTAATGCCTGTGTCAGATCTACTGTAAAAAGAGGATTAAGTACAGTAAAATGAGAGCAATTATATATATAAATATATATCATACACAGAGCCCTGTGTGTGGGTGGTTCCTTTCTGAGCTTTTGGTAGAGCCCTGAGGAGATGGAGGGGGGTTTCTGCTGATCCGGAGTTATCCAGGCTGTGGGCTGCTCCCCAGATTTGACCTCTGCTGTGCAGTGTTTCAGCAGCTACCTCATACATCACTCCTTTACCTATAGTATCTTGGGACCACACAATATAAGAGACGGGAAGCCTACGACACTTTGTGTAAGCCTGCATACTTATGAAGTGCCTGCTATGTGCATTCTAGGCACTGTGAAGACACTTTTGAAAGAGGCAGAGTTCCTCTCCCCAAGCAAGCTTCCCAGTTTAACAGGAGAGGTGAGGAGCACATGAGGAACTCATACCAGGTAGACCTACATTTGCCTCGAGGAGGAGAAAAAGCTGGTGAGGACAAAAAATCAGAGTAATCAACTACTTCCTGTTGGGGGCTTCAAATAGGTTTCTTAGAGGATTAAGGAATAAGAGTTTGGGATGAGAACAGCATCGCAAATGTCTAGAAAGGAGAAAAATTGACTAGTGAGAGATCTCAAAACAGTATGAAACTTATGATCTTAATTTCTTGTTAAAAAGAAAAGTACACATATGAGCACAGAAGGATGGATGGATCTATACAATGTTTACTGAAGTGTATGGGATGGGTTTATAGCTAATTTTTTTTTGTTGGGGCTTATTTGCTTTTTTTGCAATGAGTTGGCCTTAGTATTTGTCTTGAAAAATAGTTTTGCCCTGGCCAGGTGGCTCAGTTGGTTAGAGCATCGTCCTGATATACCAAGGTTGCGGGTCCCAAAAATCAACTGATGAATACATAAATAATTGGAACAAATCAATGTTTCTCTTTCTCCCTTCCTCTCTTTCTCAAATCAATCAATAAATAAAAATTTAAAAAGGAAGAGCTTTATTATACATACATACACATATGCAATTTTATCCTGAATGCATAGTTGAAACAACATGGATAACTGGCATTTGGTCATTGTTATTACAAAGTCAAATCATTATGCATTTTTTTTAAAGATTTTATTTATTTATCTTTAGAGGGGAAGGGAAGGAGAGGGGGTCATCCACTGACTACCTGGCCTTTATGCATCTCACTTTCCTCACTCATTAAATTTGTCACTACACGACCCTGACCTGGTGGCTCAGTTGGTTGGAGCGTTGACCTGTACATCAAAAAGTTGTGGGTTTGATTCCTGGTTAGGGCACTACCTAGGTTGCAGGTTCGATTCCTTGTCAGGGTGCATGGAAGAGTCAGCTGATAGAGGTTTCTCTCCCTCCCTTCCCTTCTCACTAAAAATCAATAACCATGTCCTTGGGTGAGGATAAAAAAAATCAATCAATCAATTAAAAAAACATATCCTCATATCCTCAGGTGAGAATTAAAAAATTGTCACTACTTCACTTGATAGGGCTCTAATAGATTTTATTTTTTCTAATTTTTCTCAAATGGCTGCATATTTTTTCTGTTGGTTCATTCTTAATTTGATAAAGCTCCTTGGCAGCTGGAGATATTAACCGTTTTCCATTGTAAAATTCTCCCTGATTGTTTGACTCTTGAGGTTGCTTTTTATTGTTAAAGTGTTAGGCTTTCAGATAATCAAATATTGCTTATTTTTTAGTTTCTAGGTTTCCAGTCATAGAGTATACTTATTATTTTCTAGATTTTCTTTCTGGAGGGGGTAGGACAGGATTTTAATTTCATTTAAATTTTACATTCACTTTATCTGGTTTACTATTATTTTTAAATCCTTACCTGAGGTTATGTTTTATTGATTTTAGAGAAACATTGATTGGTTGCCTCCCATATGCACCCCAACCACGGACTGAACGTGCAACCTAGGTATGTGTCTGGACCACGAACTGAACCACAACCTTTAGGTGTACCGGAGGATGCTCCAAACGACTGGACCACCCAGCCAGGGCTGGGTTATTTCTCTTTTGTGTGTAAATGAGAAGTCCAATTTTATTTTTCCAGTTCTGTCAGCTTCATTTAAAAAAATCCACCCTGGCTGGTGTGGCTGAGTGGATTGAGTGCCTGCCTGCAGTTACACTCCCAGTCTAGGGCATGTGTGGCGGTTGCAGGCAGGGTACCCGGTGGGGGGCGTGTGGGAGGCAACTGCACATTGGTGCTTCTCTCCCTCCTTTCCCCTCTCCCTGAAAATAAATAAAGAATATCTTTTTAAAAGTCCATAATTTATTCCTGTTGAATTGAGATACCAACTTTGCCCATATAGTAAAATTTCCTATACATTGAGACCTACCTCTGGATTCACTACTTGCTGCCACCGGATTGTTTACTACTTCGTATACCAAGCTATACTGATCTAATTCCAGTTGTTTCATGTTTTTTGATATCTGAGAAACACTGATTTGTTGTTCCACTTAGTTTTGCATTCACTGGCTGCTCCTTGTATCTGCCTTGACCAAGGATTGAACCTGTAACCTTGGTGAATTGGGATGATACTCTAACCAACTAAACTACCCAGGCAGGGCTCCCTCACTCGCTTTTTAAAACTATTGGTTATTCTTAGGCACTTTACAGAAATAAAAAACTAGTTGGGATTCTAACTGGAATTGCTATCTTTATTTCAGAATTGACTTTTCGTATATACCGTTTTCCCATCTAAGCGCATGGTATCTTGTTTGGAGCTTGGTTTTTGGCCTTAGATAAATGAAGTCTTACAGATTTCTTCATGTAGGTCCTGTGCCATTTTTTTGCTTGGCAGTCTCATTAAACTTAGTCCTAAATGTTTTATTGCTTTTGTAATTTTAAATAGAATATTTTTTCAGTGATTTTGCTTTAAAACATTTCTCTATCATGTTTTCCTTCCTAAATTGTCTTAATTCCATCTCATCTCTATTATGTCTTGAGTTTTTAGGCACTTGTGATCAAAAAGGTAGTGTTTTCTTTTTTCAAATCAGTATTATCTTTTTGAGTGCCCTAAAACTATTTTCAGTGGGCATCCCTGTTTACTTCTTGATACTAATTGAAATTATAGAATACTTACTTACTGGTATTTCACTACTGTTTTTAAAAGAATGGCTGCTGAAATTTAGTCAAGTTCCTTTCAGCATCTTTTGATGTAATGATATTTTCTTCATTAATTTGTTGATGTAATGAGTTATGGTGATAGATTCTCTATTTAATCAACCTTGTGCTCCTGGAATAACCCCTACTGTTAGTATGTACACATGTATTTTTATGTTTCCTTTTCTTTTACTTTTAAAGTTGAATTTATGAGGTAATATTGGTTAATAAAATTAAATAGGTTTCAGGTGTACAATATTGTGTTCACCACCCCGTCTCCTTCCATCGCCATTGATGCTCCCTTACCCTCTTCCACCTTTCCCCGCCCCTTTCCCTCTGATAATCACCATACTATTGCCTGTCTTCGTTTTTTTTAATACCTTCACCTTTTTCACCTACCCACACTTTACCAGGTTTTAATATTAATAAATCCAATTATTTTGCATGAATTGGAAATTTCACTCTTCCTATGGACCAGGATAATTTAAATACCACTGGACCACTTAGTCCTCGCCCTCCCCACCCCACAGGTCTCTCAATCAAGAGCTTGAGTTTTACTTTTTGAAAAAAGCCCCTGATTTTGGACCTATTCTTTTAATTAAGTTTGCTTTCTGTTTCAATCATTTGTCTTTAATTTTTAGGATGCATGCTAGATTTGTTTTTTTTAAAGATTTTATTCATTTTATTTTTAGACAAAGGGGAAGGAATGGAGAGAGGGAGAAATAATATATGGTCGCCTCTTGTGTGCCCCCTCCTGGAGACCTGGCTGGCAACCCAGGCATGTGCCGAGTGGGAATTGAACCTGTGACCCTTTGGTTCACCCGCCAGCACTCAGTCCACTGAATCATACCATCCAGGGCTAGATTTGTTTTTTTAAATAATGAAAACATGTAGAGTTATACATTTCCCTCACTCAGAGCACTTTTGCTGGTATCTCAGATTTGGGGACCCTGTGTTCCTGCAACTGGGGAAACAAGTTTTCTAACTTATTAAAAAAAAAACCACTTAAAAATTATTTATCTTTTTAGAAGGGAAGGGAAGGAGAGAAATATCAATGTATGATTGCTTCTGGTGCATGCCCTGCTGGGAACTGGCCTGCAACCCAGGCATGTGCCCTGACGGGTAATCGAACCGCGATCTTTTGGTTTGCAGGCCTGTGCTCAATCCACTGAGCTACACCAGCCAGGGCTCTAACTTATTCTAAAGCTCCATAGGGCAGGGCTTGGCCTCTTGAGAGCAGGGGCCATGTCTGCCATGGGGCCTCAGGACTCAAAAATAGTAGTGGGCACAGGTAAGGCACTAGTGAATATCTGACTAGCATAGATAAATGAATAGCGAAGTGAGCAGACCAAAGGTTAGACTTATGAAAAGTCACACGGCTTATAGCAGGGCTGGCTTGAAAATCCAGGCCTCATAGTTCTCAGTCCAGTAATCTATCAGCTCACTAAGGGACCAGCAGAGCCAGAATAGATCTATTTCTGAAATATAGCAGAAAGGAAACAGAGCTAGGGACACATTCTAGGGAAATATGAGTAAAGGATGTTGGAGCTGATCAGGAAGCTTCAAGGTGACCCTCTACAGGAATGAGTGAGTTTGCCCAAGGCCGGGTGGGTGGAGAGAGATGGTGACTCTGGGTCTCCTGGGAAGTGTCTGGCATCAACAATTAGAAAAAAATGGTGGTTTTGAAGCTAGGGTGGCTGGTGGCTTTACAGCCATCTGGGATGCACAGGGCAAGCCAAAGGACTCCCACTGGCACTTTTACGCCTGGTTGGTAGGCTGAGAGAACAATGGCCCAGAAACCCCCGCCAGACCTTATTAGCACTTCTCCCGCTGCCCCAGGGAGGAGGCAGGCCAAATGATCTGGCCACCCCCAAAGCACTGGCTGGGGCAGCAGTGGGTGATGGCGAAAGCTTGCCCCCAGCCCCATCCCCGGGAGCCTACAGCATTGAAGGACAGGATTGGG